AGGCTTTCATGTAACCCAACCCCAAACATTTGCTACTTGACCTCTCCAAGGCCCCCTGAGACAGGGCCAGGCTAAGAGGTCACTTGGAAGATGAAAGCATTGATCCCAAGACCTTGCCCATTTTATTGTAAACAGACCACCATAAAATGTCTATATTTTACTTCCTTGTACAATCGAACTGCTTATATCCACCTTGAAGGATGACTTTTCCCTGGGAGCAGAGGAGAATACCAGTTCTTGGGAGGGGCTGGAACCAGAGTACTTAAGAACCACACCTGCGTGACATCTCATACTAAATCTTGTCTGCTTCTACCAGAGGCCTTTGCGGTAGAATCCATCTTGAAGAAATGTTGCACACCCACCCTGTTAGCATGTCCCCTCCTAAACCGGCCATTTCCCAGAAAATTCAGTCTATCCCTATGAAAAAATACGATGCCTTTCCCTCACCCAAAACTCAGCAAAGTCTTTGTTTGGGAGACAAGCCGTTAAGCGTTGCGTTACACCCGCCCACCTCCGCTTGCCTGCCTATTTCTTATAATAAACCTTTGGAAACTCTGCCTCACCTCACTATTCTCAGTCAGTAAAAAGCAAGATCCCTCTTTTGTAGGACAGAGGTGGGATTAGCATGCCTGGTACCAATATGAGCATATATTTTTACAACTTTTTTTTTAAGGATCACTAATTACATGGTTTGATTTCTAGAATATTCCTTTTTTTTTAAGAGTTGAATTTTAGATACCTATCCAGTTGACCATTGTAGGGACAAAAGCTGAACACTCCAAAATGGTCACACTAATGTCAAACCAAGGAAAACCCCCTGTCATTCCCCCTCTAATATGTATCTCTGACCCTCCACATGAAACTGTGTTCCAATGGACTAGCTACATATCTACTAGGAAGTAGCAGACAGCTGACACTGGGCTGTTTGTCTGGTTTTCCTCATCTCAGTTGAAGCTAGGATCTCCTCATATCACCCCACTCCCTTCTATCTTGAAATATGAGGCTTATTAAATATTATAAAAGGGACCCACAAGCCCCTCCCAAAAACTTGACCAGCCTGCCAACCACCACTGGAAACAAATGCTGTTCTCTTCTCTGCTTGAAAACCATCTTTTTCTGCAATAATGTCTCTTGAACTGACTCCTGGTGTCTTTTTCAGTCTCTCGACGAATACCCACAC